AAATCACAACTCTTCGTTTTCACCATGTCCAACTTTCGTTAATTTTCAAAATTTTTATTCGGGACTTTTGGGGAAGCTGTGGTAACCAGCAGAGAGCGCAGATTTTGCCAGCCAAAGATGTACTTTTCTTATTCTAGATACTCTTTTACAATTTTATAGATACTCTTGTATAATTTTACTAAGTAATTTTCCAAGAGTCTCGAGTTTTGGAGAAACCGTATAACCTGCTACCTGTTAACAAACACTGCGAAATCTTCAAAATACTGAGTTTCCACACTCGATGCTTACTAATACTAACTCTGGAAAGTAAATGAGCGATTTTTGGGTCAGAATATGAAGATTCAGAAACTTGGAGTACATCAGTGCTCGTAAAATTTAGAAATACTGCGATTTCCCCCTCAAATTTCGCGCGATCCGAGAAAAGACAACCACTAGAAAGAGAAATAGTTGCATCGAATAGTATCTGAGCCGTTAACCGTTTCAACTTCTAAGAGCGTAGAGTGGGCCGAATATTAAATTTGGTTTCCCTAAAAATATATCTTGTGGAAATTCTAAAAGACAATCCACAGGACTAGAGGAAATTGTGTATTGGCAAAAGGTTTGCTCTATCTGCTGGCTGTCACAGTTTCCCAAAAAGTCATAAAAGTTCTGAAAATAGCGAGAGTTGGACAAGGTGAAAACGAAGAGTTGTGAATACCAGCAATTATTTCACCACTCTCTCAACTACTCACACTGGGAGATACAGAGCTGGAAAGAGGAAGAAATTCTGCATCAGATACAGCTTGAGGTCATTTCAAAATGGTGACAAAACTTTTGCACCGACCTAATATCCTGAAACTGGCTCTTATAGAGGATGATGAGAGAGTTCTGCGTGTAAATTTGAATCTATTTCTCAGTGGTGTTTTCCATGGCACTGCAGCACAATTGATGCCAGTAATTTTGGCCTTATAGTTTGTAGCGAAGATGCAGAAAAATGGGTGTGCTGTCCAATAAAGCTCTGATAGCTTACGTGTTTTAGTAAAACATTAGGAGCCGCCATAATTCGCTACAGACGCCACCCGTCCGCGTAAGGCTACAATAAAGCCTATAACTACCACATTTATGGTGCATCGGCCAAATACGTAAGAACGATTAGTGCCCGCCTCAGCGAGTGCAAGATATTCTAACCTTGGGAGCTAGCCCCCGCGATCTGCCGCTTTGCACTTAGCGACAGCCGTACTATACTACGCTTAGCGACAAATCATATCAATTTTCGCTTGTAGCGAACGGCTCTAAAGCAACCATTTTTGCTAAAATTACGAATTTCACATCAAAAATGCCTTTAAAATTTTCAGAGAGGCAATTTCATTTTACTCAGAAAGAGTAGCAAATTTATTCAAAAAGTTTGAGTCTTTCAAAGATGTTGAATTTAGTTTGCAGCTCACTAAAGAAATGCAAAAGAAATGTTTTACAAATTTAGATATGCTCCTTTCTTGCATACGCAAGTTAAAGCAAGATCGACATTTGGCGGTCAATAGTCGATTGAAGAGTTTTATGTCAAACAGTCTAAAAGCGAGCAAAACAGTCATACTCCAGCTAGAAGAGCTCGAAAGGGAGGTTGATTTCTATCAGTCGCTTTTTGATGCTGATGTTTTCGCTTGTGTTGTAGAACATCAAAATCTGTATGCAGAAAAATACATAGGCAATTTTGCTGTATGTCAAGTAGTCAAAAGACAGCAATACAGTCTACTTCACTCTTTTACACTTAACGCGGAAAGAGAATTCGAAAATCATAAAATGTTGAGCAAGGATTCCGCGACGTCAGCAGATGATATCGACGAGCAGCATGGCGACCAAAATTCAAGGACAGTGCAATCGCAGCGCGCGAATGTGCCACTGATGGCAACATACCGAGAAGAAATTTCCAAGTTTCCTCTTTCTTGAACTTCGGCATTGTTATCATGATGTAGTATATGATTAAGCCAGTCGAGGTCAGTAGGTCTTTATTGTTAGTGGCGGCCTAACGTTTCGATCAAATCGTCGTCTTCAGAGGCTTAAAGTGGTAAGAGATCTAGACTTAGTGTCTAACCCACCAAAACCTCCACCATCCTGGCCAGCCTCGATTTCACCCCGGAGTCCCACAGACAAAGTCCCATACGTGAAAGACGAACTGACCTCCCCCACCGTCGGCGCGCGGATGTCAGGGCGGCCGTCCTTGGATGCCACTAGTATCAAAATGGAATACACTGTATACCATATTTGACTAATCACTAGTCATCTTCAATTCGCATAACGTCATAAAAGGCATAAAGTCATTTGTAATTGACAAACACTCATTTCGGCCGTTCATTATTGGGTTTCTTGCATAGATCCAGAATGCCTCAAAAGCTTTTCTTATAGCAGCGTCGTACTCGAATGCCAGTGTTGTACATCTAATTTTGAAGTCATTACCACTGTGACATTCAACTCTATGTTTACCAAGAGGAGTGGTAATACTTCCCTTCTTCTTGCTGGCAAGGTGTTCTTTTATCTATACCCAACGGTCTCCCAGTCTCTCCGATATAGGTGGCACTGCATTCAATACAGGTCCCGTAAATCAACGTTGTGACGTTATGCGAGTTGAAGACCACTAGTGATTAGTCAAATATGGTATACAGTGTATTCCATTACTGACACTAGTGGCATCCAAGGACGGCCGCCCTGACATCCGCGCGCCGACGGTGGAGGAGGTCAGTTCGTCTTTCACGTTTGAGACTTTTGTCTGTGGGACTCCGGGGTGAAATCGAGGCTAGCCAGGATGGTGGAGGTTTTTGGTGGGCTAGACACTAAGTCTAAATTTCTTACCACTTTAGGTCTCTGAAGACGACGATTTGATCGAAACGTTAGGCCGCCACCAACAATAAAGACCTACTAACCTCGATTGGCTTACTCACATACTAACATACCGAGAAGAGATGATAACTTGACGTCGACGCAATCATTCCCGAAGGACGTCAGTCGAGAATACGGAAAAGGAATGGAAAAGAAAGGTTGGCAGGGTATGAGGCAACTACGTGCCTTTACGTCGCACATCGCCCGCATCTCGCCAATCGCACTAAAAAATTGGCTTTATACTTCCGAAAATAAGGTAATTTTCAGAAGGCATCTAGAGTGTCGACGCCCGAAATAGTCACATAGTTAAACCCAAATCTCAATCTGAAGTCGCCTAAAGTTCTTAGATGTTAGTTGGAATAAGCCTAACTTCATGAAAACAAGATGCGCCTTCTTCACTTTTTTCAAGCAAGCTGCTCGGCCGTACCACTGTGCTTCGCGGAATGATTACCCTTTTATATTCTTTTGGGTCGGAGCAGCATGTTAGGTAAGCCTTTGGTCGCGATGTTCTTTGGTGTATCCAGATTGATTCAGTTCAGATTAAGACTATGTCTTGATTTTCAAAATAGTTCAAACAAAGGATTGAAGACGAAAGAAGACCGATCAGTCGAAGGTTGAGGTTAGTTCCCTTATTATTATTTCCTATCCATATGATCTTCCCTCACTACTGATGATTTTCAGGGGAGATCGTATGTTATCCTTTTTCGTGTAGTGGAAAGAATGATACGGAATTGGATATCTTCTGATTTTATTTTTATTTTGTTACTTTCTCATTTATTTTATTTTCTTGTTGTACTCGTGGAACTATTAGGTCGTCTCAAAAGTAAACTTCTTTTTTGAATAATTCAAGCTGTTTTTGTTTTCCTAGTATATTTAGGGTATCATTTGATAGAGCAGATCAAGCTCTACAAACTATCGCCAAAGTTCCGCCTAAGTCCATGTAAAGTTTGAAGCCAAAATCGAAAAAAAATTTCGTCACCTGAAAATTGGATTTTGCGAAGAAAAACCCTACGGACCTTCAACTTGGTCATTATACAGTAGGCACATATTAGTACCCAAATATGCCTTTACTGGATTTTTTCCGCGCATAGAAAGCGAGGAAAATAAGATAGTCCAAAAATGGCAAACTCCGCCTTTATCCCCTCTCACATATGCCATTGTATACTACAAGCCTTACTAAGTATAGACTTGAAATTTTACTTCTGCATGTGCTCTTATAATCGAAAAATACTAAGCTTTACATAAAAAACCCGAAAAAAGTGGAATTTTGGCATTTTGGGACCACCTTTGTTTCTCAATTTTGAGAGCCGGAAAAAATCCAATACATACATTTTTGGGTACTACGTATGTATCTACTATATAAAGACCAAGTTGGAAGTCCGTAGGTATTTTCTGGAAGGAGATCCGATTTTCAGGGTGGGTGAAAAATTTTGATTTTTGGCTCCAGATTTTACCTGGGTTACGAATTAGGTGGATCTTTGGTAGCCTTTTTGTAGAGCTTGCTCCGCTCTATCGAATAGTACCCTAAGTCTGTCAAACAAACAAAAACAGCTCAAGTTATTTGAAAATGGAGTTTACTTTTGGGACAACCTGATATATAAACTAAAAGATCCATGGCAAAAAAGCAATCATCACAGCGCAGCGGCGCCAAATCGTAGTTGATCAAAAACCGTGCAACTCGCAGTATTACCTCGTGACAGACTGTTCATAACTATTGTGCGGATTTAGTTTATTTTGAGTATGGACTTCGCGAAGATTTTTAAAAAAGTTAAACTGACTCAAAAGGAACTTATGTTGGTAAAACATGTTGTGGTGTTGTTAGTGAGCTAGTGCAGCGAAAATGGGAAATCACAGTTCTTAATGGGTTAGTCACTTCGAAGCCTTAAAGTTGTTAAAAGCCCATATAAGATTTAAGGAACCACTGAGCGGTCATGCGCAATTAGCCTTTACGCACACATTTTCCATAATGATTTTGTTATTCATAAGTAACAATGGTCGACTGGATTACGCTTTTGCAAAGTGGGCGCGTAATGGCCGCAGTCAGCGCATGTGACACGATCAGTGAAGTGCCTTTGTACAACAAAATGACAGTAGCCACACATGCAGCGCAACCAAAAGCCCATGGGACTAAACTACAGTGTTCGACTCACATTCCATCTGGCACGGAATACAGCTGGTATCTGTAATAGAATTAAATGCAGACGCAAGTTTAAGAAGCAGCATGCTGTCAGCAAATACCGATGAGAAGCTGGTCACAGCAAGATGCAAATAGCTATGGGTGCTATTGAGTTATTGACCTACGTTCCCGATCGATTCCGCTTCTTTTGTAGATACATGAAGATGCCAACGAAGAGCGTCGTTAATAAGAAGATACACGCAAGGATCAGCAGAATCAGTGTCAGTGCTGCAAATTTTATAATCAATCAAAATGTTACTCTATTTATTTTTGGAAATTTTATTACTCATTTACACGCACCACTTATCTTGCTATTTGAGAAGGATCAAGCAGAATCCCCGTTTTTCTGCAAAATGATTGCGGAAACCAATTACTCGAGCCAGAAATGTTTTAACGTTCTTTTCACTCCGTAGTGGCGAATATGCGACCACCATCAATGATTACGGTTATGGGAGCCAACAAGTAAGTGGATACACTATGCCACCACCAGGATATGGGCAAACGATGCAATTCACTACTCGACGGTAGACCAATTCCTAAGTAAAAGCACAATAATAGCGCCTTAATTGAGCCTTTTCACAAGCATCTCATCTTAAGTTTTCGCACCAATTGTTCTGATGTGGTGGAATATTTTTTGGCGCTTATGCATCATTTTAGAACAAAGCCGATGTATCCTGCCATGTTTGAGCAAAGAAATCAAATTCTGGCTTTTTCCCTTTCTTTTGCTTATGTGTATGGACGCATGGTATACGGCCAACGTCCATCGGCCGAAAAATAAGGTGCTCCAATCTATCAAAAATTATGGGGAAATGTGGTTTGGCAGAAGTTTGATTTAGATGTTTCGCAACCACTGTACAGTGACGTATTGCTGATTTACTGTACTTTGTATTTCGCCGCCTATAATCCACTGCTGTTATTTCGTCTCTAATAAACTTCTAAGCTCTGTTTACTCGTCATTCCACCCTAGACATCCAGCCCCAACAGAAACTCATCAGCTTGAGGGGATGTAGTCTACTTCACATCAATCAGTGTTATTGACGTCGACAACACTAAGATGGCAGTGGCGTGCGAATCGCAACATATTCCCCCTATAACAGCTTTTCTACGCATAAAGTGCCGCATTGCAAGGAAATCATGTTGTTCCACTAAGCGGCTAGGGAAATGTTCTAGGCTTAAAAAGGATTCTAACTTCTCAGATTTTTTCCTACGATAGAGGGAATGTTTGATAGGGTAAATCTGAATGTCGTATGCTTCTCTCAGATTAAGGCGTCTAGGCCGAAACTTTAGCCAAATAAACGCTTTGACAATCCTGGTATTGGCTAGAATTAAGTACACATCTATGGCATCGTTATAGTGTCTTAATTAACGTAAGCAATTCGTCTTTCGCAGAGAATGAGAAATAGATGCGATAATGGTGACCGTTGACTCGAATTACGTACTTCCTGCTTAACCCCCTCGTGCGCACCATACGGATTAAGGCAACATTATTAATGTTATGGGCGCAGAGCAGAAAAAGTGCCACTCGTATGCGAATCACTGGCGAATGCTGGCAGTCACTTGAAAAGATTTCAAGTGACTGCCATCTTTCTTCCTCAAACTATCGCTAGATTGAGAGCAATCAAGACTTATGGTTTGGTTTTCTTGCGAATTGGGAAAGTGCCATGCGGTCAATTATCATCAAGGTTTCGATGTTGTACAATTAGAGTCATAAACCGACGTGAAGCTAATTCCAAAAGAAACATTGCAAACTTACGGAACCGACAATCAGAACCAGCATAAATCCAACTGCATTCACACCTATAGGAATAGGGCCCGGTAACGACAATCGTCGATCCGCTCGGGCATGTCTGAAAGTGTTTATGAAGATTATCGTTGCAGTGAGTCAATTTTACTTTGATTTGCTTGAAATAGGTTTGTATAGTCTTCAATGCGCGGAAGAATATTCGTGATTTTACAGCGCTTGGTCAACCAAACTCAAATTCAAGAAGTCACCGCAGCTTGATCCGCCATATCTCCGAGGACGGTTATCGAAGCTCTTGAAAGTGGTCGATTTGAATGAAATTTGTTAATAAATAAATTATCTCATAAATTTTGCTAAATAGCCTTGTGAAACGTTTGGGAAAAAAATTTTTTATTTAAAAAATTTAAAAAAAAAGTTTCAGAAATCTAAGATTTCATAGAGCTGTACTTGGGAGAAATTTGGAAGGCATCACAAAAAGTTGTAAGGGCTGGCACACGGTTCCCTTCATCCAAAAAAATTGTCACCCTCCCGCCCCCCTCTTCCGCCCACACTATAAATAAATTTTGACTCACCGCAACAGTGGGATCCCGAGTGCAAATGAAACCTCCCGGCGTATTCTTGCATTCCTCGACCGTAGGACATGGATAGAACGCACATTCGTCAATGTCTAAACCAGAGGAAAACAAAAATTTTTTTCTCTGAAACAAAAAACTTACCTTCACAGATTTCTATAGTTCTATTTTGGTCATCCACTCTCGACCCAACTGCTTGGAATCCGCTAGCACAAACACATTTGGTTTTCCCAGGTTGACCTAAAACGTAGAACCTTACGTAGCGCTTTGGCGATTTATTAGGGCTAACCGTCGATAGCTTCGCATTCGGTGTATTCCGGACAGATGATGTTTCCACATCTTTCATCCTAAAATAGATATTTAATGTATTATTGATTATTGACAAAAAAGACAGTATTTGGCAAACCCTCGCGATCCAGCCATCGTATGGGAGATATGCTTTTCCAAGAGTGTCGAAGCACGCCGCGTTCGATGTATCGCAGTCCAGGAGGAATTGCTATAAGTAGAATACCGTAACAAAAAGCAGGCTATGGTTATCAATGTTTGATTTCCATTACTGAAGTAAGTGTTCGTTGTCATTGTGAAGAAGCATAGACAAACACCTTGAAAGTTGAATCGGTGTACGTTTACTATCATATTTGAGGATACATACTTCAAAAAGAAAAGGAACGAACAAGCAAGGTTGCAATCGCCAGGTGTGCAGCATTTACGAAGTCGTCAAGTGATTGCCTAAGCTAATAATAGCGGAAGAGACGAGCATCGGTGGTTCAGTGGTAGAATGCTCGCCTGCCACGCGGGCGGCCCGGGTTCGATTCCCGGCCGATGCAATTCTTTTCGATTTTTACTGATTGTGTAAACGGCTGGCTCATTGAGGGTTTCACTTGTGTGTTTATTAACAAAGTTTGTCTTACCACATTCAGAAAATTTGAACTCATTACGATGTTGCATATGATTGTAGTGGAAGTGCGCAATCTCTGTGTTTTTTGTTCTTACATTTAACTCAGACGATGCTTGCTTTTCGATCAGACAGCAATGAAGATTTGAGAAATAAGAATTATTGGATGTCTAATCAGAAATAAAAAAGATTATATTGGCATACGGGTCTGTTTGAGGTGGAAAAAAAACTTTCCCAATTGCGCAAAGGCTAGAAGAGCACACCACATCAATCCTAACAGGAAACGTGAAATACAGACTGACAGCTTTTTGCACCTTGAGAGCCGGAAAAATATTTTTCGGATGCTGCGAAAAAATAAGTATTCAAGAGGTCTCAAACCGTTGCTCCTCACTACTGTTCGGCGCAAAAGAACCCACAAAAATCACGGCATAAAAGAGCGCACTATCAAAAAATTTCCCAAATGAAAAGTAAGGGGGTTTCCTAGTTTTGATCTCTGTTTTGCAGAAATGATACCAGAAAGATGACGCGTCTTTACAAAAACGAGTAGAGCTTTATCTTGAAAACGCCCATTCTTAATCTATAATATAATTTAGATTAACATGGTATTAGGGTGAACGGTAAAATGGAACAGCTTGATTTTTTTTACATTTTGAGGTTTTTTGTTCTCACCAACAATAAGCAGGCTACAAATCAAACGTCGCTTACATAAAAGACCTTCGCCTATTACTCCCTATTACCCTATTACCCTATTATTCGAAAGAGCCTTTCATGCTCTTTCAAACGATATGTTAAATGCATAAGATTTCTTTTCAATTTCAGAAAAAAAGCGAAAAATCCGAGAAATAGCTATTTTTGGCGCAATATAAAAACAAAAACATCATGTTTTGCCCTATATTTTCCAAAGATAGATAAAATCTTAGATAAGCTGCATATGGATGGATATAGCGCAAAAAGCTCTATCAGATGGTACCTAGAAAACGTGCGTTCACCTGCAAAGAATTGATTAGCGAATGTCTTTGTCCTCAAAGCTGCTAATGGCCATATCTCCTGACTTTGAAAGTTGAGGCCACCAAGCCGTCGTGGGTTTGGTCATTGCCCCACCACCCACTCCAGGAGTGGTACTTTGGGTGGTCTCTGATCTTTCGTTGCGCAGATACTGCTCAAACTTCATAATTTATCGAAGTGAGACTTTGCATTTCAGCAAGTACAAAAATTATTAATCATGTAAATGACCTTATATAGGTATTATCTGAAAGATAATAACATATTCTAACATCTATCAAAATTGGAAAGTCTAATCGCTTCTCATTCTTGAGAAACCTCCAGTTATTTCGTAAGTGTCTCATTTTTTACCGTTCACCCAATAGTTTCTACCTGAAGATTGCGGTATTACAAATGTTGGTAGTTCTTCTACTAACAAGCCTTGTAGATTTCTCTTTCGTTTTTATGCCTCAAATATATGTAAATCTCACCTTAAATATACGCTCATTATTTCGGAATTCCCCGCTGTCATGTAGTTTAAGCAATAGCAACAAATGTGCTATCAAAGATCCTTCCGTAAATCTACCAAAAATGAGGCTGATGAGGTTGCTACCAAAGACTTTTTCGAACTAAACAAAATCTCTATGGTTTTTTTTTTCATTATGCTAGAAAAAGAAACTTACCGCCTTGGTTATAATTCGTTTCGCGGCGATTGCATCTGGGTGAGTAACATTATTATACCATTCTGCATAGTATGTATCTCTGAAGATGAGCGTAATGTTGACTCGTTGGCCGACTAAAATACATTTTGTAATCCCCCAAAACAACGTAAAATTATTCTTCTCCCACCCTTGACACATTCCTTCCCGCTGACATCGTAGACAAATCCCTGAGCACATTCGCAAGTGTAATTACGAAATCCCAACATCTGGCATGCGTACTGTCCCGCAGGACAGAACGATGGCGATGGATCAAGGCAGAAGTTGTGCATTTCTTCACAAGCGTCGCCTTCAAACTCATTCGTACAGTCACAACGGTACTTCTTGAGCTTGGTGGCGTCTACCACACAAGTTCCGCCGTTTTGACATGGGTTCTGGTAGCACGGGTCTGAAAATTCGGTTTTGTATTGACGAGTAGTTCAATAGTAGTATCCAGGCAAATCGTTCAACAATAGTATCCAGGCAAATCTGAGTAGCTGGGCTTTTTATGTGGCAGCTGCTGGGAAGACTTTGAATGAGAATCACTCTACAAAAAACTTTATGTTTAATTTGTGGCAAGTTTGAACTCCAGCCCATACAGTACTTCCTACCGTACTCAAGGGGCTAATTGGTCCGCTCGGAGATTACGGTGTAAACTATACTGTAGGGTGAAACATCTCGGCTAACGAGATATGGGTTTCCTCTTCATAATGACTTCGTTGAGGCCTCCAAACCAGTTACCACACAAAAAATGTAAGTAACCCGATTTTCCTGAACACTCCTATAAGATGCTGGCTTACTTCTGCATATGCCATGCTCATCTTCAATGTCAGTGTCAACCTTGCAGATGCAGCTAGGAGTACATGCTCCGTGGGTTTTGACGCATTTCTTACTCGACGGGCAAAGAACTCTGTCGCAAACATCTGAAAACTGTTATTAGACAAATACCCCTTTTCTTTGCACTTTTAACGTTTGTCGCAACGACACATATGTGAGCAAAATCTAAACCGATTAAGGAATGACACTTTACGATGCATCATAGAGTCCGCGGAAGCTTCGAGTAGATAATTTGTTCAAGTGGAGAGGGCCGAAGATTTGTTGAGTAGCGCGTTAACTTCGCAGCCATCCAAAGATAGAAGAGAAGCCACGAAATATTGCAACCGCTGGCGAGGTAAGAAGCCAACCGTTGCGTAGCAGACATTCGTCATATTTTAATCTCTCCTGGGCTGAGACAAATTTTGAAACAAGGGACTATCTATCAATCTCCTGTACATCAAACTCATGCTTGCTGGTGAAGCTGCTGGGGAGAGAAGCAGGCCAGCAGCACGAAGCGCATATCAAAAATACCTGCTGCCGTAAACTTCGCATATCGCAAAAAAATGAAAAGCCGTTGTATTTTTTTCTTCCTTTCATTCCTCTAGTACAGCTTTTGGATTTTGCATCTCAAATGCAGTATCCCAACAAAAACTGATTTCCAGGAAATCTACTTACCTGGGGTTATTCGCAACGTTGGATTCGAAAATCCCATTAGAAAGCGCGAAAACGGCGAGTACATGCGTTTTCCAAAGCCTTACAATTTGCTGAGACGCAGAGTCGCTGCGAGACCCTACGACATTAGCTGTGACGGACGGCATACCGCAGAGCAGAGCAGGAATTCAAACAGGCAGAGAGGCTCGCCCCAAGGCGTTAGTTTCCCAGCCCTCGGACCATATTTCTTGCTTGTGGTTCAACGTTGTGGTTTCGTGCTTGCGCGATGACACGTTCGACGGGGCGAATTTCGTATGCCAATCAAGACCCCACCTTTTTCGGACACTGCCTTGAATGATCATGGCAACATTAATCATCGTCAACAGTAGTAAAGCCAGAGGAGTTGACGGCTCTTTTCTTATGTTGGAAGCAATGTTTGTAGGACACTTAATAGCGCAGACCCATACATTCATAAGAAAGTAATTACCCTTATTCCAAGTATAAGGCGCACTTTTTCGAATTTTTAAGTGAGCCGCTCAGCCGCTTCACTGTATTCCGGAAAAAAATCCTTACATTGCACGATTCTCTGAAGCAATATACAGCATGTTATAGGGTCCGGTCCTTATGTTGTAAAGTCCTTTGGCTTGTCTGGGCTGGTCGATGTTTGAAAAAAATTCCCGCGCTTTATACGCGTGAATTCAGGGTAGAAGTCTTATTTACGGCTCAATGAAAACAACAGACATCAAATTGCATAAAATGGAAGGCTTGCTCAAATCAAACTATTTATCACCACTTCCCATCACAATGTTACTGTGTAGACCTTACACTAGGACGCTGTGCGGGTTCAAGGGGCCGATCTGGCAAGTTTGACCATTTCCCGAAACAAAAGTCCTGACCCCAACATGGGCTGCTGCCCGTTTAGGCCATGCAATCTCAGGGTTTAGACGCTCTTGCATGTACGGACCGTGCATAACGATGAAACGTGCCGCGAGCGGGAGCTTGATAAAATACTGCCCAGAAGAGTATGCTCTGCTCATATTAGAAGATTCTTATGATGCAGCGTAAAAGGTACGGTAAATAAAGCTAAAGCTTACCACATTGTATCGTTGTGTTCAAGTAATGACAAACATCCGTTTCTCCTGGGTTCCCGCAAATCCATGGCCTGGTTGTGGTGGGGAAGACTGGAAGTAAATACATTATAGGCGAGGCATCAATTTTTTCAAGAACGCCACCGATTTTATCAATGCCTTTGATTCCCCCCTTCCTTAATCTTTGATCAAACTAAGTTATGACAATGCTTTGCTGAAAATTACAATAAAAGGAAGTCTTTATATATACGGTAAACGTAAATGTTCAGTTTTTCCTACAGGTCATTCGGCAGAATTTGCCCTTTTAGTAACTGCTTTTCTTATAGCCACCCTTTATTCCTCCATCGCTTATAAACAGTATTAAACTATCTCGTCAGTTTCTAAATTGGTTAACCCATAATTAAATAAGTTTTAACCATGATCATAACGGCGAATTCATTCAAAAACGCCTCCCTATAAGAAAAGCTTCCTGGCCCAACATAGCTTCGGAATGCATGCATCATATGTCAACTAAAAGAAAAAAACTTACCTATGGGAGGTAACGTAATTACAAATGGAGTGGTAGTGTCTGAAAGTGCTCAAAATGTTTTGAAAACATTAAAGAAAATCCGAAAATTTTCATTGATAGAGATAGATGGGATAGGATAGTTTGACAGCGTTCTACGTATGTGTTTGGGTTACTCACTTGTGCTAGTGACTGTTGTAAGTTCACTTGTGGCTGAAAATGCTATGCTTACGGAGTTTATAGAAACATGATTTTAGTTGAAAGAATTTTCAGAAATTCCCGAGATTTTCAATATCAGGGTGTTCCATAATTCGTTACCATTTTCACTTTCTACAATAACTCATATACTTTTTGTATTCTAAATAGGTTTCGCAACAACGTTCCACAGAGCAAAGCAAACTCTACAAAATAGCACCCAAATTTGCTCGAAGTTCATTCTACATAGAGCTGATGTTTAACCAAAAACTGTGATCTAAATGTCCGCCAAGTCGAAAAAATTGTACTCTCAAAAATTACAAACCTCCTACTTGCTCAGGCATGTACTCTCCACATCGATTACCTATCTGTAGGTTTGCTAATTTTTGCATGGCTAGAAATGGAGAAGAAAATATTTTTCATGTTTTAGTCAGTGCGCAAGGCTGCTCCCACACAGGTGATTCTACGGTACGAACCTTTGGAAGTAGAACTATGAATTTTTGGCTTTTGCAGGCAATAGTTTCTGAAGAGTATCAGATTGATTTTTTGGCCTATTTAGGTGTATGTATATTTCTCAAGTTCTAGCCATGGAATAATAAGCAATCTTACAAGTAGATATTGGGTATGGAGAGTGCTTGTGAGCAAGTAAGAAGCGTAGGAAAATTTCAAACGGAGATATGTTTCTTCTTGACTTTTTGATCATTTACATCTTCTTAGAATTCGGCTTCGAGTTTTATTAGGACTGACTTTAAGCACATATTTGAATGATATCTTGTAGAGCTTGCTTTGCGCCGTCGAGTATTATAGTGTTGATATTATAGTGTGGATGGCGGCCAGTTTTCCATAGGCACCTCCGCTCCGCATCCGCAGCGCGCGCCTTTCTTGATGCTTCTCACCTAACTCTGAGCAGTAGATCATACCTACGAACACATAAGAGGTTGGAAAGTGGTAAGCTCTAGCTTTACTTCGAAAGAAAAGCAAGAATAAAATGAACGCGACCTCCATTAGTACCTTAAATTCAATTAATGGGTACAAAGTTCATTCTTGCACTGATGATAAGCGATAATAAGTATACGTAAAGCAGGAAAAGAACAACAGCTTTCTTGAAACGTTTCTATTCGTAGACAACTAGAAGTTAAGAGGTTTCAAAAAACGTGGACATTTCTGCAAACAAATCCCTATCGGCGTCTCGAAAGGCTCAGTTTTGACTTGGCACTATTTGTATAAGCTCCTGCAAGACGAAGGCGGTGGTTCGAGGCGCGACGTGGCTGTGACGCGGCTGTGACGCTGCTGTGACGCAGCCATGTCGCAGCCGTGTTGCACATTGAACCGACCGCCTTCGTCTTGCAGGAGCTTATACTTTACATATCAAGCTGAAGGGCATTACTATCTGGTACAAGAAGCCTTTCAAGGAATATTTCCTTGAAATTCACTCAAATCTCAATTTCGCAGAAAAAAGGAAAAACACAAGAATACTCAAGACTGAAGCTCTCAGAACTATTAGAATACGTGAAACTCGGGTAAGGGAAGAGGCGCACTGAAGGCGTGCGTTGCGGATGTGTTGCGCAGGTAGTTATGGGAAACTGGCCGGGGTTTACACTATACCACTATACCATATACTACACATAGCCTATCTGAAACAAGAAAGTTATGAGTTATTGCGGGAGAAAATAAAAACGGTAAATAAATTATGGAACTCCTTAATAAAACCACATGTGAAAGTCCCATGAAGCCGCTCTGAGCACAGAACACTCACTCGTTGTTATGATTGTATCCATTGAAGTAATGGCTGAAATTATCACACTCTCAAACTTTAGACTAGCAATCTGTCATAGAGCCGAGTGTTTCCAAGATAGTGCGCAAAATTCGGAAAATGATTCTGTATGAGGACTTGAACTCACTAGTAGTACTATATGCATCCGTAGTCATTGGTGTAATTACTGAAAGAACTATGCAAAATTACAAAAATATTTTTTAGGCAGCGTCCAGATGCACAAAATTTGGAAAATGGTTCTGCATGAGGGCTTGAACTCACTAGTAGTACTAGATGTATCCGTAGTGATTGGTGTAGTTACTGAAAGAACTATGCAAAATTACAAAAATATTTTTTAGGCAGCGTCCAGATGCGCAAAATTTGAAAAAGGATTCTGTATGAGGGCTTGAACTCACTAGTAGTACTAGATGTATCCGTAGTGATTGGTGTAGTTACTGAAAGAACTATGCAAAATTACAGAAATATTTTTAGGCATAGTCCAGAGTTGCCGGCGTGAAGGCTGCACCAACGTTGTGCCAGGGAAGTGATGACACTTTGCTGGAACGCACTTGAACGCGCACCGTATTGATCGGTTGACGTTTAGGAACAGTGCTGGAACAGCGCTGGCACGGGCAACTTTGGATGCAATTCAGCGAGAATGGATGTCTTCTGTTCTTGATGTTCTTCGAAGTCTTTGAGGCGATTGGATTGTGCATACAATCTCTTCACTTTTACAGGCTATGACCAGTGGGCCATGTCTCTTCTTCACAAAATATCTTCCAGATAGGACCTTATCTCTCTTTTCTGCAACTTTCACGCCTCTCATCTGCTTTTGTAAAGCTAGACAAATTTCTTTTCTTTGAAGTGAAAACTGCCAAATTCTAAATATGACGAAATATCGGCATTGTTCCCCATTCCGAATACAAACTTTATTTTGTACTGCTTGTCCTAAATATAAAATTTTCAAACTCACTTTCCGTGCTTGGCGAAGTCAATGAGATACTTGTTGATATTGGCGTTGATGGACCTCCTATAACATGAGATTATTCCTGGCTATGTTATTTGGGTGATTCCGTCATACCTGTCATTTCAGTGAGTGGTGTTCCTACTGTTCCTATGGGGGTTCTTGTCATTTCCGTAAGTGGTGTCCCTACAGTGCCTATGGGGGTACCTGTTATGGTGAACGGTGTCCCTGTTCCCACAGTTGGACCTGTCATTTCTGTAAGCGGGGTCCCTACGGGGGTACCAGTCATACCAGTAACCGGTGTTTGTGTACCCACTGGGGGACCTGTCATTTCTGTGAGTGGGGTCCCTACAGGGGTACCTGTTATATCTACTACCGGTCCTGTACCCACGGGGGGACCCGTCATCTCTGTGAGTGGGGTCCCTGAAGGGGTACCTGTCATATCTGTTACCGATTCTGTACCCACGGGGGGACCCGTCATCTCTGTGAGTGGGGTCCCTAAGGGGGTACCTGTTATATCTATTATGACTGTTGGGTCCGTACCCTCGGGGGGACCCGACATTTCTGTTAGTGGAGTACCTACGGGTAGACCTGTCACATCGGTGAGTGGAGGATCCGTACCACTAGTCACTGCAATAAAGACAAGTTAGCACCATTTACAAATCCGAAATCTTGGAAATAAATTCACCTCCTGTGACAGTTTGACATGAGGTCAAGGCAACTGAAATAGGAATATTTCACTACTAATGTCTTCAAATTTTCAGCCTGAATTTTCCTTATTCATTTTCCTCATGCTATTCACCCCAGACCAGTGAGTCAAGATTTTCTTTGCTTGGTCATCAAAAGGATTATTTATAGATGCTATGTTTATGGATTATTCATATCTAAACTAAGTTGAGATTCTCAATACTTGCCTAGGTTGTCGAACTTCAAGAATTTTTGGCAAAAAAGAACCAGAAAAATTGGTTTCAACGGAAAGTCAAGTAAGCAACTCCAAGGAAATGTAAAGAAATCGTGGCATTTACTACTTGTACATGTAATACTATCATACTCATGTAAAAGTCGATTTCCACCAAAATTGTACCAAAAATACCTCGAATCTCAAAATCTACCTTGCAGAAATTTCAAATGTAACCATTTTTCGACTACTACAAATTACGTGAGCTTCAACACTTTCTAAGCCAAGATTCTTCCCTTTTTCAAGGCAAAATGGATCAAAGGTTTGATAAGAAAGTTGCTCTCAGCGTTTTTTTTCGTTATATTTAGACTGGCGAGCTGCAAACATTGAACACAACAAGCTTTACGAGAATCATTGTGTTTACACGGTATTTGGAATGCTGTACGAAGCATTGTCACCATGCGGCAAAAGCCAAATGTAGTAAACAGTGTGCCTCGGGAATGCATTCGCTATCTCGATGTGCAGTTTGTGCTTCGAAAAATCAAAGCACAACGAAAGTTTTCATTTCAAAGAATGAAAATCAGTATTAATCTCAGCTTCCATAAAGCCTTCCTTAGACGCTAAAAGACTACCAAAATTTTGACTCATTGAATTTAATGGGATTCATGAAACCTACTGTGGCAGTGTTTCAGCTTATGTGCTAAAAATTCTACTACAGACTGAGCATAGAGAACACAGATGGAGAAAGAAACGATTCATCCAAAGTGAAAAAAATTTTTTCTCGCGAGAGAAATGAAATTGAAATATTCAGTTTTTTGAGAAAAAAAAACTAGATAAATGAGACGTTTTGAGCAACACTCAATGGGAACTACAATACCGCTCACATTTTTTGAAAAATAGACGCGAATGTATGGACATGTATGGACATGTACGGACATGTCCATACATGTATGGACATGTACGGACATGTACGGACATGTCCATACATGTATGGACATGTCCGTACATGTATGGACATGTCCGTACATGTCCATACATGTCCATACATTCGCGTCTATTTTTCAAAAAATGTGAGCGGTATTGTATCTAGACTCAAATTAAGTGTGATTGATTATAAGTCAAAAAAATATGAACGCAAGCTTTGGCTTTACAGTATCTTTTCGTCTTTTTCTCTATAAACTACGCTACCTTTTATGAAATTGAGTAGCTTGGAGAAAAAAATGAAGCGCATTTCATTCCTATCACGTAACTTCTTGCACTAGTGACTTTTTGAGAAAAAATCTTCTAATCAGCACTGTACAATATACAGAAGACGTTCTCAATCACTGATAATCACAAAATTCACATATCTTAGGAGATGGCTGACAATAGCGCGCTGGTGATTTCGTGATTTCTCATGAGCTCAAATCTTCTAGTAAACTAAAATTTTCACAGATAAAGCGGAATATAGATAGGGCTAGATTGTGACGGGATAATCAACATTCAGAAGATTGCATTGAGTGTCACTGATCAATGAAATAAAAGTAAGTTAAAATTCTAGAATGTTTCTGGCCATGTTTTGAAGGTTGCAAAATTTCTGGTCATTTTTGACACTGGAATGGGCACCGCGAGCGTGCGCTCATTCGTTCTCTTTTGATAAAAAGCGGCTATGTCTTCAAGATTTTACTGGTCTATTTCTCGGCTCCCCTTCCCCTCCAGCATTCTCCCGTGATCAAATGAAATGGCGAATATGGATTCTGTAGAGGGAATTGACTCACCTGTCAAGAGGAGAGTGACAACATGAAGCATGACGATGTCCACGTGGGGTGCGGTGCGTACGACGACGGCGACGACGTGATCGCGTATCGACAGGCTCGGAAAACGCTCCAATATCTGAATTTGTGATGGCTGGCCAGAGTTTGCCTTTGTCGACTTTGTTGTCAATAGCCTCCCGCTATGGTCAGCGCGAGCAGAGTACGCGGTTGACGGTGAGAGCCGCGAAAATACGTCAAATATACGGTTGACGTCTATTTGGCGTCAAGATGGAGCGAAAAATGAAGTCAGTTGGAAAAGATTACTGTCTAACTTATTTGTGGAGTTGATGTACCATCTGTGTTAGGGAATATAAGAAAGGGTGAGAAAAAAATGATGATTTTGTAAGAAAAAAACTGAAAGTAAATTGAGGTTTACATAAATTTCATCTTTAATAGATAAAAAAAGAGCTCGGAAAAGTTAGAAATAGAGCAATTTTACAAATGCTTGATATTATAAAGAGTGAGTTTTTGAAGTCGAAAAGATAAAGTAATCGTTCGTGTACAAACAGATAGGGTTGTCTCTTTCGGTAGAATTGAAGTGCACTTGACACAACTGAAAGAATCAACTTTTTTTTATTCACTGCATATCGATTGCTTTTCCTCTTTACCTTAGTAGAAAATTCATGCTGATGAATTTTATGATTGCAATTTTCATTCACATAGGAACCTGTTTCCTTAAAGGATGGTACGAGATCAGAAAACGGAAAATGAGCATGCATAATGTAAATTCAATATTTTTTCAACGCCATGGATACTGTTTTTCAAAATTCAGATAGTAGGATTTCATTTGTGAAACATTTGGGAAATTCAACGAGACAAATTTGAATGAAATTGAATGAATCAGCTCATGCCATTTGTTAGGAAAGACAGACGGTCATGGTCAGTGGCGGTTAATTCGTCACATCATTTATTTGAAGAGCTGAGTTTACAAAGAATCATTAATGTAGTCCTAAGGGTACATTTTGATCGATTTCACTTACCCTCAATGGTGGATTGATCAGTTGTAAGCGCTTTCAACACAAAGCATGAGCTTTGCATCGATCAGAAGTCCTGATCAGAAGTCCTGGCTTTTGCTGGGTAAGTTTTTACATTCAGGAGAAGTTGCAGTTCAAAACTTTATAACCTATACTATCATAGATCGGATGGGCAGCAAATTCCGCAATGAGTGTACTGGAATCATTCGGCTCTTTCGAAGAAAGTCTGTAGTTTTTATTTCGAAATAATTGTAATTAGGGCAGTCCACAAGTCTTGCACCAAAGATGAAATTTCGCAGTTTCTTTCTTCTAATCTCAGCAGATTCGTTCAGTCCAAGGAAACGTTGGAACAAGAGAGGAAATTATGTGCCGGTCCAAAACGTTTCGAGCAAAGGTTCATATTAGCTTTTAATGGAGGTACAAGCTGATATACGGAAGCGGTTGAATCGTGATTTTTCGAATTATTCCCTAAAAACCCCAAGAGCCCAAAAAAGTAAGAAATCGTGCTGATTGGATGTAGTATCTACAATTAGTTATGATTTTCATGTTTTAATGACAACTCAAATTTTTTTCCTTATGAAACCCCAGCATAGTGAAAAATTAGCAAAAAAAGGAGAAATCAAACGTTCGCTATTTGATACGAAAAATATTTAACATTAATGAAAACGTTTGCTATGATGAAGACTCATGGACCAACCCAATACATTATCTGAATCACATGCAAACACTAGGATGATTGAAGTGTAAAATATTTCAAATCCGTAGAGTCAGAAGCTCAGCCAGTCCTTTCAAAAATGAGTATTAGTAATTCTTTTGATTTATGATGAGGTTTGAGGCTGTAGAACTTCCGTACTTCCGTAAATCCATTTTTTTTCATATGAAATTTATTTTGGTCTTGTAAACATGTACACTGTAAACTTATCACAAGAAAAATAAGGAGCGGCTTTTTTTAACGAGAATCAAATACGTTATCAAAAAACCCCTGTTAAGAAGCTACAAGCTGCATACAGGATAGCGAGAACAATATGAAAAACTGCCACATCTTGCCATCAGGGAGGTTTTTCATATTCATATTCCATCATAGCCCTGCTCTTGCTTGCATAATGTCTTCATAGCTAAAGATGTTCTTACGTGTACACACATAAAATCATACTGACGTTCGGTAGTATCAAGTGGGCGTAGCTTGAGCGTTTAAGTGGAAAAGTTTTATTTTTGGAGCTTAATTAGTGGAAATAGTCCTATGCTTATAATAAACTCAAAACAGTCCTATGCTTGTGAATTATGGATAGAAAATTTGGTGAGATTCCGGTCATTCCGTTGAAAGAAAGAGATTCAAAGATTTTAACTGTAAGGTGGCGTTCTCAGTATAATCCCAAAGGAGACTAGGAGCACGGCAAACCTCAGAAAACTGATCTGGAATGCTCATTTTTCTTTTGCAATGTAGCCTAAGTTATACACAAAACGAGAACTGATTGAGTTTTGATGATATTCTGGAAATTATTTTGATAATTTACTGTTAGAATTTGGTCAACAAATTATCTGTACAAATGTTTCGGCTCAAGTAGAATTTTTTTAAACTGTTTCCTTCCAACTACTAGGTTCATCACTGCCAAGTAATATCACCAAACACAATGGGGGAAGAATTGCTAACAAAGGATGACTCATCTCTACAACAAAATTTGGTCATACATTTACTATTTTGAGTCGTAAGCGGTGGACTAAGTGCAAATTCTTATTTGCTCATTTGAGGCAGTGGATCGGCTAAATGAATCCTTTTCGGATTTTGATGGAGTTAGGTAGTAGGCCCCCGAGTACTCTATAGCCCAACCCCCCCCCCCCCCGCTCATGCAATAAGTCTGAAAAATGCGCTCCAAAACTCGACAGGCTCCGCCCACTCAAGCGCGGGGCCCGTGGAGTACTGGAGCGCATTTTTCAGGACTTAGCGCATGATGGTAGGAGGGTTTGGGCTAAAGTGTACTTGAGAGGAGGTGGTCTATTACCTAACTCCATCAAACTCCGAAAAGGATCCATTTTCCCGATCCACTGCGTTTAACACATTCACAACAATACGACTCATCGATGGGTCGTGCTTGTTCTGCCATTTCGGACAATATGACCCACGGGTGGGTCGTAAGTTTGATAAAACGAAAAAGCCTCCGGTCCGAAATGGCAGTAATCGAAAAATCGGCCTTGTCGTGAATGTGGTAACGATGCATGGACCCATATATGATAGGTACAACCACAATCACTCAATAATTGGGTTGCAGTTTCACGAAATGCAAACAACCGTCAGATTTCCGTAACCCACATTAAGACAGACTAAATGACAAAAGAATTAAATCAGGCATTTATAGAGCTATGAAATCAATGTTTTGTAACAGATGCATCGAGTATGCAGGAACATCAAAGCTACTACCAACCAATATTTATATGCTCGTACGGATTTTGGCTCACGATTGCAAAGTGCAAGTCATTTTTTGTGAGATTAACCCTGATTATTCAGGCAAATCTTATGGTATGGCAATTGTTCGCAGTGAGATTTCAGTGAACAGAATGAGTTAGAACAGCGCAATGAGCATGGCAGGGTGGAAATGTTGCAATATTAAATTGAGGAACTGTAAAAACCAAAGATCAGGAAGTGTAGAAAATTTTAAAAAAATGTAGCTTCTCAAGACAATCAAGTCAACAAACACTCTTCATCCGGACATCTGCTCGTGTTTCTGGAGCAAATTGAACGTCTGCTTTGTCGACGACAGTGAAAGCAAAGAAAACCGTTCATTTTTCACTTCGAAATTGATGATCAGGATCGGTCATAACTGAAGAAAAGTATGCACAAGTCATCCTTTCTAGTTAGTTTTTTCAAAACCTTTTACAAATCTCTAGGACCTATGCCTGACATACGCGAGCATCTATTGAACATAAATCGTTAAAATTTTTTATGAACCATTTGTAGGGATGAAGCGCCTTGTGACGGTCAAAAAGAAGTTTTGAAAAAGTAAAGGATTTTGAGGAAAACTATGGAGACTCGGACCAAAGTTTTTTTTGCTCTACGCTTGCGCAATACGTTGTGAAGCCTTTACACAAGAAACTCATTTGTAATGCAGTAACGGTTTGATATGAGGCTCATACGTTCGCCATCGTACAGTCTGGCGACGGCACTAGCGGAGAGCTATAAAAAGCTGGTAGAATTGTACGACTATTGTACAAGAAGCGATTTTCACAAATTTTATACAATTTGCGGAATTGTGTTTTATTGGCATGGGGCGCATAACTTCCAGATTACATTATTTGACCTCGCTTTTGAACGAAAAAGATTCAGGAGCACAATATCATTCAAATATTGTGAGTGTTTGATTTTTTTACTACTTTTACTTCATCCATCCTGACTACATAGGATTACTTTCAACATCACTTTGGTATTCCTGTTCTTACACAAAGGACTGAATTAAGCAAATAAACAACTACCTATTTTTTACCAAATCGCTCAAAATTCAATTGAGTATTTGCCGATGACTGCATCCATAAATGCTTTTGATGAAAAAGAGAGAGGTTACTCTCAAATTTTCACATTCACTAAATGATAAAGAGCTCTTCACAAGATCCATTAATGATTTGTAGATATGAAGGCTATGCGTGACCAGCTGCTAAATGAGATGTGTCAAAATGAGGAAATATAATGCCATCTCTTATAAAAATGTGCATTCGTCATTTCCTCATCTATTAGATTGTCCCATAAGTCTTTTTATATTTGATCTTTACTGCCTTCGTCATTTCTTCATGAACTCCTCATGGCAATCAGAATAGCTTTCAAAAGAGCAAAGCAAGATGACGTTCAAAATTCACATTCTAGCATTTAATTTCCACATCAGACTCGTACATGCACTTGCTCTATTTTTCCATTGCTAGAAACCGAAAAAATAAAAATTTGCATGCTTTGTAAAAGCTATACTGGGCTGTTCCTACATAGACAGATTTATAGTATGAATTTTTGTGAGTTCTTCTAGAAATTGATAGCCTTTCAAGTGCTTTATTTCTCGATTAGAATAAAAACCCCAGTAAAAGCGAGAATTTCTGAAGTTTCCGTGATTTTGGAGTATTTTTGTTTTT